GACGTCACTGTAAGCACCTCCGTGACACAAACCCTTACTTGCAGCTATGGAATATTTGGCAATCCTGGCATTTCTAGCGTTTCTGGGTGTGCTGTTTTTATAAAGCAAAGCCAAAAGAGAAAATAGTCCTGAGTACCTTTTGAAATACATGCTAGCTATGTAAAAAACCAAATCTTTCAAGGCCAGATCTCTGCTCACCCTGCCAAATGAAATACAAAATGAAACTCCATTGTTTTACTCTTATGCTTCCTGTGCCTTACAGCTTGAGCCATGGATCCTCTTGGCTGAAATCCATCCCAGTAACGATTTAATTTGGGAACCACATTTCACCTTTCTAAAAATAAGGAAAACTGAGAAGAAAAGCAACTAAGCTGTGCTGAATAAAGATCTAAAATGACTTACCCAGGATCTCAAATTACAGAAAATATGTTGCCCAGAGAACATATAAAATCAAATATTATAAGCCTGCTTCTATGCAGCAGGCTCCTTCCTGGCATTTTAGTCCTGTTGTACAGCCTGGACCTTTTCCAGGGAGAGAGCAACAAATCATCAGGGTTTTTTTTTTAGTGGTTTTTTTTTTTTAACTTTTCGCCCTCAGACACTTACTAAGAACCAGACACACAAGCAAAAATAAAAGAATGTAGAAAACATCTACCCACTTGTGTTTGGTTTCCAGTGTTTTTAAAGCATTTGACTCAAACTGTTACCCAGGAATGAACCTTGTAACTACTGCAAGATCAAAACCAGACAAATTTCCCTAAATGGAACAGAAATAAATCTATCTAAAGACCCATGAGTTAATGCGACAAGAAATGCAATAGGTACATTCACCTAAAAAAAAGAAGAGAAGCAGCATGAAATGGCAGCTCTGCCCTGCTCGGGTTGTGTATATATAGACATGTACACAGGACCAAGCCCCTCACGATGCTGGGAATTCAGACTCCCCTTACAGAAGCCAAAACCCCAGGCTGGTACTGGTAGGACCTCACCGCGGCACGCAGCGTGTAGAGGGGTGCACAAAGCCTGGGGTCAGCGTGTGCAGCCCTGCTCAGGGGGCTGGTGCCACCAGCTGCAAGCTCTCAGCTCTCCACAGCCACTCTGAGCACAGAAAGCCCGTGAGGCTGTCGGACTGATGCAAAATGGCAAGGCTAACAGCACCGATGAACGCAGGGGCTGCGAGTAGCTCTGCAAACCCCCTGCAGCCCCAGCTGGCGCGGGGGAACAAACTCACACTGGCCAGGGAATAGGAAAAAAGTCCCCAACCAGCCCAGCCACAGGGAAAACGCGTTGAAGAAACACGAGTTGTGCTGAGAACAAAGGTGTGCACGGACAGGCTGCAGAAATGCTGCAGCAGTGCTTTCAGTTTGCTGGGTACCAAAACGGAGCTTCCTCAGCGACCGTCGGTGCAGACCCTTGCAGCAGCTCTGCACTGCAAGGAGCCCCCTTACTGCTGCCAGTGCTTGCAGCCCCCCAGGCTGGGAACTTTTCCTTTCTTCCCTCCCTGGCAAAAACATACCCTGAGCGTGGCTTTCTGGAGTGACTAGTTGTTCTCTTTGTCACTAAACTCTGGGTCTCAGCTGTAAATGAGGAGTGCCCCTTGAAAAGCAGCCGCATACCAGCTGTCTCTCCTTCCTTGGCACCCACTTGTGCTCAACATCAAAGCTGCTGGGGCTCCAAGGAAAGAAGCCACCTGCACCACCCTTGGCCCTCTGCCCCTCCTGGCTCATCACAGCCCGGGAGCAGGAGCCCAAGTGCCATTATTCCTTGTGATTGCTCAAGGCAAGTAAAGAAATAGGTCTGCGATGAAAGAGAGAGCTGCTGGAGAGAGCTAGACTGCCAAAAGGCCTCTTGCAAGATCCATTTACTAGAAGATACTGAGGATATTAAGCCCAAGCTAAGATGGCATTGGTGGGTCTCTCCCCATCTTCCCTCCCGTGCTTTGGGATTGTTCCCTGGCTCCTGTAAGAGGCCAGCCTTCTGCTTCCAAGCTCAGGTGTTTTTCCTGACCCTGCAGAGCCCCTCCAGGATGCCATTTGCAGCTCTGCAGGTCATGGTCACCTCCCTGCTGCCCAGGGAGAGTTTGCTGGCTGCTGGAGGCCAGCACAGGGATGCTTCCCAGGCTGGGAATGGTCCTGCCCTTGCAAAATGGGTGATGGGAAGACCTAGGGGTGACATTCAACTGCTAGGAGCAGAGGCAGCAAACTAGGCTCAGAAGCAGCAGTTTGCTGCTTTCGGTGGCCAGCAAACCCTGTGGCAATGGTCACTGGAGTAGGAGGAGCAGCTGCAAGCATGAGGAGGCCAGCAGAGGAATGGTGGCTCTGGAGACTCTGAGGAGGTGGGGAATCCGGAGATGTCTGTGTCTTATCCTGTATAACAGCATGGGTTATGTGCCCTGTCACCCATGTGGCCCTTTTATATCCCACAAGCTCACTTAATCATTTAGGGAAACAAAGGTCATAATCATTCTCCAGGTGCACAGCTAAGGTGTGTTCCCTCTGCTCCACCTGCACCTCACCCCATTGGGCAGGTAAATTCCCTTTCTAGCAGGGATGCAGGCTGGAAGCACAGGGTGGAGCATCCCAATCCCAGTGGGTCCATGGGGAAAGAAGCAGCAGGGCTTGGCAGGCACCAGGACCAGCATCCTATCAGGGCAGCACAAGCCTTTGGAGCTGCTGCTTGGCTCCCTGCTGGGGTGGCTGCACGGGATGGGCCAGCAAAGGAGCCACCCAGCTTGGGAAACACTGGGAAGAGTGGGGATGTTGCTTCACTGTCTCAAGGTGGGGTTCAACTTTACAACCCCCAGCACATCACCAGAGATCTGGCACTCGCACAGCGGCTGGGATGGTGTCAGTCATGGGTCACTCTGCTGCTACACTCACCGTCCTCTTTGCAAGACAGGAGGGGTGGGATGAACACCTGCACGGTGCAGGGAGCCCATGGCAAGCAGTGGGCACAGCAGGCCAGCCAGTGGGCTTCCCAGAGGCATGGCATGGAAGGAGGGGTTCACAGCACCCACGCACAGCTGCGGGGCAGGGGCCTGGGAGCTGGCATCAAGCCTAGGGTGAAAAAGCCCCAGAAACACTGAAACAGGCACAACTCAAGGGGGCCAGCCTGGGGAGGGGACACTTATGGGAGCCCACAGTCCTCGGCTGCCACAGCAGCAAGGACAGCTCGGTGTTGCACAGCCTGATCCGGCAGGTCCCGTATGATCAGGGGTTTGCTGCACGTAGCTGTGCAAGCTTTGATCCAGAATTGGGAATTTTGGGGACTGGGTTCACGATCTGCACCTGCCCAGAAGCGACAGAGCCCTGCAGTGAGGATAGAAGCATTTCTGTGGATCAACAACCTGAGGACGAGGCAAGAAGCCAAGAGGAAGGTTCAAAGATCGATTTTCATTCTGGCAGAAGGTGAAGGGCAGGGAATATGAATGTTGCCTCCAAGGTCCTGGGTAGCTCAGAGTATGAGCTGATGATTTGGAAACAAAGATGAGCAATATACCAAACAATTTTTTTAAGAGCTGACTCAAAGCTCAAAGCTATTGACTCTCGAGGAGATCAGAAAGGGCCGTAAGTAAAATGCAAATGTGGCAAAGGGGCAACAACACACGTTTGCCTGGATTTAGCTGGGCACTTGCAAAGTCAGAAAAAAAAAAAGAAAACCAATTGCATGTAAGAATTAGAAAGCTCCAGACAGGCTCTGGCAACTCAGGAAAGGATCTGGATGTCGTACAAACCCTGGCTCTATGAGTGGCTGCAGATATTTAAAAAATAAATAAATAAAGGAAGCAGGGGTGAATAAAATGAAAAATATGATAATGCTGTTATGTAAATCAGCAGTGCGGCCTCTCTGGGAATATTGTCTGCAGTTCAAGGCAGCCTTTCTCAGAAAGGGCTGGTGAGGGGCACGGCAAACTCTCTCACGAAGAGAGATGAAAACGCTTGGGGTTGTTTATCTCAGAAAGGGAAGGAACACGGGGAGCTGGGCCCGGAGCGGGCAGGAGCCGCTCT